CTGCATGCCACCCCTTCCCGGCGAGGTCCCCCTACAGGCGATGTCATCCCTCCCCTGGGGATGTCCCCGCACTCACTCTGCAGACCGCGGGCGGCGGACACCGAGAGCGCCAGTAGAGCGAGCGTGAAGCCCCGGGTCCGGCTCCTCCCGCCGCTCCTCCCGCCGCGCTGCGGCTTCATGAGCCGCCCTGGGCTGCACCCCGCCCGGCCTGGGAGAGCTCGTCCACGGCCCCGCCGCCTCCAGGCCTCCGCTTCTGCAGCGCCGGAGGCCGACGGTTGTACTCTGGTTGAACCAGTTCCTGGGAGAGAGGGAAAAAAAAAAAAAGGGTGTGTGTGTGGGGGGGGAGATAATAGATACTGACTCCCTGCCTCAAAAAAGATAAACAATTAAGAATGAAAGGGAAGTCATAAAGGTTTTTTTAGAGAACAAAGAAAACAGCTCTTTTGTCACAGCAACATGACTTACTCTTCTTCTTCTTCTTCGTACCACCCAGAGCTGAGTGCAGAGCATTCAGAAACCAAGACAGAAAGTCGACTCCATCCCCTGGAAAAAAGGAAAAGCAGACACACCGAAGCTCAAAGGCAGGAAAGGAACCCGAACTACACACTGGCTGGTCCCATCAAGACAGACCTCGCTCTCCCTCTCTCTAGCCACACACCCCATCCCCTATGCACCCATCTCTAACCTGACCACAAACACCTGCATTCCTCAGGGTCAAACTCTCACTCTTCAGCCTCTACTCTCTCTCTAGGCACTCTGATTCATGGCTGGACCTTCAATTGTCATTTCTGTCCCACACTGTATCTTGTCACCCAGTGATAACAATGAATGGTGACCTTACAACATCAACTTCTCCAGAGTAAGCTCTGACTTCCTCTCTTCCTTATTCTTACATTCTCCAGGCTTGGCATGGTGGCACACGCCTTTAATCCTGGCACTCAGGAGGCAGAGACAGGAGGATCTCTGAGAGTTCACGGCCAGCCAGGCAAGCTGGGGAGACCCTGTCTCAAAACATAAACAAAAACAAAACAAAACAAAACAAAACAAAACAAAAAGCAAAGACATTCTTCAGGATGGTGACATCTCTTAGTGCTGGTACTAAAAAGACATCTACACATCTACAGCAAGGGATTCCAGGAGCAAGAGCATTCCTGACCTCTAAGAAAAGCGCCTTATGGAAACCATCAATCAAGTATTTCTGGGATAATGGCCACTCCTTTACCAAACATGATCTGCCTCCATTTATCTCCTTTCTGCTTACCTAATAGCTAAAACTTATTAAGACTGGATATACAAGTTCATTTCCCTAATTCAAAGGCCTGACAATTCCACAGAATAACTTCTTTTTCCCCACTCCTGCACACACAATGCTCTATTTAACAAAAGTGACCAGACTAAGAACTTATCCTATATACATCTATATACAAGCCAGGTCTCAGACACTGAAGAAACTGTGCTTAACTGACAACATAAACTGGCTATGGTAGAAGAAATTGGGTAAGTTTATTTTTTGGTAAAAAATTTTTTGACTGCTCTCTAACCAATCACGTTTAAACTTTGCAAAGCTGTCAAAATCTGAGGGTCCCAATAACCACTTTCAGGCCAGAAGTCTCTGTGGCGCACTGGAAACGCTAACTGACACATCCACCCACCCATGACAGACTCCCAGGACCAACACTGGGTGGCTCACAACCACCTGTAACTCCAGCTTCAGGGGATCTGATGCCCTTTTTTGGCCTCTGCAGGCATCCTCACTCATGTGCACATACTCACAAACAGATACATAATTTAAAATAAAATTAATCTCTTAAAAAAAAAATCTGTGGCTCGGCATGGTGGGGCATGCCTTTAATCCCAGCACTTGGGGGTCCAGCCTGGTCTACAGGAGAGTTCCAGGCTAGTTGAGGCTACAGGAAGACCCTGTCTCAAAAATAGATAAATAAATGAGCAAACAAATAAATGCCTGAGGCCTAACAGAGTTGGTCCAGGCATAAAAATGACTTTATAAGAAAAGCATATCCTGGGGCTGGAGAGATGGCTCAGTGGTTAACAGCACTGACTGCTCTTGCAGAGGACCTGGGTTCGATTCCCAGCACCCACATGGCGGCTACGAAGTCTCCTTAACTCCAGTTCCAGGGGAATCTAAAGCCCTTTTCTGACCTCTGCAGCACTGCATGACACGGGTGTACTCACATACATGCAGGCAATACACTCATACACATAAAATAAAAATAATAAAGTATTTTTAAAAAAAGAAGAGCATATCCTAGGCATCCTAGATGCTAGAATTAGATGGTCCTATCTAGCTATCCCCTGTTCAGAAGAGTAAGATGTTACAGGCCATGTTGCAAACTAAGAAACACCGTGTGCAAAAGCCAGGTGTGATGGCACACACCATAATCCCAGCAGTGCCTGGAGGCAGAGGCGGGCAGATCTCTATGAGGCCAGCCTTGCGTCTACATAGTGAGTTCCAGGCCAATCAGGGCTAGAAAGTGAAACCATATCTTTAAAAAAAATTAAAAACTAAAAAAAAAAATTAAGCAAAACAAACCAAACAAAAAGCTCCACCTTGTTCAAATAGCTTAGTAACTTCTGCTCATTTGGGAGTAATTCATGGGATTCCGATCAATACACACTGTCTATTCCCAAGTGTATCTTAGTTTCTATTATCCTAAAACCCTACAACAAAAGGGTCTTAATCTTTACTTATCTTACTGTCCCTTAGTTCTCCATTTCTTAAGTACCTGAGACACTTAAAAGCTAAGCTGCTCCTCAATTAGAATAAAGGACTTTTTGTTTTGTTTCCAGATTTTTGAGACAGGGCCTCTTGTAACTGAGGATGATTTTGAACTCCTGCTCCTCCTGCCTCCCACTCCCAGGTAGAGGGTTTAAGCATGCACCAGGCCGAGCTCAGAATATTGCTGAAACCTAGCTCTGACACTTTTGTTTGCAAGCTTTCACTGATTCTCATCCTTAAGATATAACCAAGCTCCTTATGACGACATATAAACTGGAAAATCTAGTCCCTCCTGCTCAGCCTTCACCTTGGTTCTCCTAACTCTGGAATCCAAGGTGCAGCTACTTACTGTCTCTGTGCCAAACACCTCTGTGCAACCCAAACTATAGACTGTACCTCTGTGCCTGTCTAACTGGCACGCCCATAACCAACTTGACTCTTCTACTTAAAACTCAAGGTCTCCTTTCCATTTCCCAACTAGGGGTCTTGGCTCCATACTCCCACCAATTGCAGACTCTGCTTTCTCTAATCAGAGTCAACCCTCTCTGATAACCTTCCCTGAAGCTTGGGATCTCCTAGAAAAAAATGATGTTTCTCACACCTAGCAAACAAGAATGTATGTTGAACAAATGATGTGGATACCACGTGAGATTCAGCTACCAAGACTGTGACCACTTCACTCAGTGGTAATGCCAACTGGGCTCAAAGAGATGAGAATCAGCAAACGGTTCACCTGAGTACCCTAGTGTGAGACATGAACATAAGCAGCACAGGTAGCAGTTGCTTGGTAATGACAGGGGCTTGCCCAGATTCCTGGTTTTCCCACAAAATATATAGTTACTTTGCCAAATAAGACAGACTTTGTATACAGCTGGAATCTCGTGGGTCTCCACACAGGGCCTGCAGATCCTGATCGAAGAGTGAGGAACCAAATGAATGGTGAGGAACCCATTGAATGGTCCCTTCCGGTTACTATCCAGAGTCTATGCAAAGTGGAAATACAATTGTTCATCAGACTTCTTTTGTTGCCCTCAAGCCAAGAGACACAGATGACTTGTCCCTTACCTTGTTTAGTGATCTGAAAAGTCTTCTTGCTGCAAAGGACAACAGCCTGAAGCATCTCATGAGGAGAAACGTGTGCCTTGAAATTTCGGGGGTTCCAGAGCTTTCTCATCAGTTCTCCAAAACGCTGGACCAACAAGAACATGATATCCCCTGGAGGACGTTTGATATTCTTATAATTGTCTTCTTCCAAGAAATAGTTCCGGAGAGGAGGAACATTAGACAGAGCCTGGAAATCAAGCATTCCAGTTAATCTACAGCCCCTATGCAGTACCCCTGGGGCCAAGATCTTCTAGCTAGACTCAGATAAAACCTTAACAGGCCTACAAGGGCCCTAAAGAATCCAAAGGAAACAGATCCTCAAGAGAATCTTGCCCAGAGCACACACTGAAGAAATGCCCTTAACTGAATTACACAAAGTACAGTTCTGCAAACAATTAAAGGATGCCCACATCACAAAGCACTTTAAAAGCCAGAGTGGTAATTCAAGTCTATAAACCCAGCACTTGGGAGGCTAAAGCAGGAGGACTGCCCCAAGTTTGAAGTCAGCCTGGGCTACATAGAAGTGAGTCAGGCCAGCCTGAGCTACAGAGCAAGGCAATATCTAAAAAACAAAATACAAAACAATCAAAAAAGCACATTAAAAAAAGTTTTCAGGACTAGAGAGATGGCTCAGCAGTTAAGAGAGCATACTGCTCTTATAGAGGGGTGCTGTTCAGTTCCCAGAACTCATGTTAGGCAACTCAGAATCATCTATAATTCTAGCTCCAGAAGAAGATGCAATGCCCTCCCCTGGACTCCATGGGAACCTACACTAACACTTGCACACATACACACACAAATTAAAAATAAAAATGAATCTTTTTAAGCCAGGCGTGGTGGCACATGCCTTTAATCTCAGGACTCGGGAGCCAGAGGTAGGCATAGCTCTGTGAGTTCAAGGCCAGTCTGGTCTATATAGTGAGTTCCAGGCCAGCTAGGGCTACAAAGAGATCCTGTCTCAAAAAGACCGAAAAAAAAAAAAAAAAAAATTAAATCCTTACCCATTAATCAATTTACTTAATACTTTCCTTTTTCATTTTAATTATGCCTGCAATATTAAAATGCACAAGTGCAGCACTTGGGAGGCAGAGGTAGGCAGATCTCTGAGAGTTCAAGGCCAGCCTGGTCTACACAGCAAGTTCCAGGCCAGCTGGGACTACAGGGAGACCCTGTCTCAAAAAGACCAAAAATAAATAAATAAATAAATAAATAAAATGCACAAGTGACTAAAGGCTAGAAATCTAAAGTTTCTTCTTTTTTTATCTCCTGTACTGTGGCCTGAACCCAGACACAAACTTCACCTCTGAACG